CTGGACCACTTGACGGAGCATGGGAGTCAATGGTGGTGGGTGTCGCAGCGGCTGCTGCTGCGAGAACTCCTGGCGTTGAGCAAAAGGCAGTAGACAAAGCTGCCGAGCCACTTTCTCTCGCACGAAGTCTTTCAGTTGTGCGAGAAGGTTTGTCTGGTCAGGGATGACGTCCAATGCGATCACTGGTTGGACCGTCAGGGATGAACGTCGCATCTGAGCTCGTTGCCGCTTCAATTCATCATAGATCTGATACAGTCATTACTTCGGCCACAGTGCTAGAAGACTTCGTGAGGAGCATCTGGAAAACGTCATCGTCGACGCCCTTCATAATGTGCTGTATCTTGGCACTCTCGCTCATGGAGGCATCGACGCGCCGGCAGAGATCGATGACATCTTCTATAAATCAGGTGAAAGTTTCACCTAGCTCATGTGCCCGTGTGTGCAGACGTTCGGCGCGTATAGCTTCCGTAAGGCAGGGCGACGAAAGACGGCAGATATCGCCTCCTTGAAGGCGGACCAGTTCCAGAACTTGGTTTCGTGGTTCGTATGCCACAGCTTCTCCACGTTGGTGAGACAAAAATTGACAGTGGCCAACTTAGCAGCGTCTTCCCACCTATTGGGTCCACTGACTTATTCGTAGGACGACAGCCAGTCCTCGACATCCTGGTCTTCGGTGCCCCGAAAGATCGGGGGGTCTCGCTGATGAACCGGGCCGGGGCTAGTAGCGGCCGCGAGAGGTACTGTCTGTTGGGCAGCGTCAACCTGCATGGCCGATGGCAGGGTGTGGGATCGGAGTTCCAGGGCGTAGGCGATGTGGTTACTCAGCACGATCCACCAAATGTAAGGAGGTTTAGTGGGCGAGTACAACGGACAGGCGGAATATTTGTGATTGCCACACAACGAGGAAGATGGTGGTGCTCGAGCGTTGATGTCGTGGTGCCTTTTCTCTGGGATGATGCCTCTGATGATGTCATCATTTCTTCATTATACATGTAAAACACCCTTTTCCTAGGGTTTAAGGGTGCTATAGTTGAAACACGGCGCCCCCTCCGCACCCCCCACTTCTCAAGAGTGTAAACTGATTTATTGTCTCTTATGCGCAAAATGTGTAGGTTGCAATCTACAAGAGACATTTCCCTGGTTATGCACGTCCAGTATGTCTGCAAAGGCGATACATAGGACGGAAATTGAAATGCCAAGTTTTTTTAACGGAACACTTGCGTAAATTGTAGTCAATGTTAATTTATAGTATCGCGTTATGCTATATCTGCATTTTATTTTATTTTCACTGCCTTGAGTTGATGTCTCAAGGCATTGTGTGAGCGTGATAACGGTGTAAACTTAGCAATGTCATGCATTTTACAATTCAGTAATTTTGCGTGCGTTCATATACGTCGACAGCGGACTAGAAAATGTGAACTTGAATCTTCTTTCATTGTCAAGAAGTATAACACTCTTTATCAGCGCTCGCTCAAGATATCACATGTGGTTGGCGAATCGAGCGTGGTTTGTTGCAGAAAATGGCGCTTCTTCCGTTCACCGTCGAGCAACAGTGGTGTCGAGCTTGCGTGAGGCGGATTGCCGACTGTCCCATGGTTTGTGCGGACGAAGCATGAGCGAGTCAGTTTAGTAACGATGCTATTTATTCGCACGTATGTTGCTACCCAAAAGAACTCGTTGAAGACGCGTGCCCGGCGCTTGGCTGACGCCGATCTATACGAGCTGTGTGGAAGGAAATCGGTGGGCGTGCCCGCTCAGAGTCCTGGCCGGTCGCCGGGCCATGTGCCGGCGACCGTGTGTGCACGTGCGAGGTGGCGCGCTCACGCGTGGCCAGGTGAGTCGCATCGATCTGCGGTCGGCGCCGTCTGGCCGCGGCGCCACTATGTCCGGCGCATTTGCCAGATTGGAGTGGAGCCTCTCGAGGGCTCTCCTCTCGCCGACAGCTGTGCCGGTCGCACAACTGGCCTCACATAGCCACCTTCGGAGCACGCTGGAGACAACACGACGCTCGGCGGCGGCCACAGGTCGGTTCCTCTCTGCTTCGCCTTGTAGGCAAATAAAGCGTATTTCGACGGAGGGTGCTGTACGCTTGCTCTCCTCCCGCCCTCTCTGCAAGGGGTCAAGTACGCGTGGAGGCAATGCTAAAAGTGGGCTCTCGTGATCGAGGCATAGTGGGCACTGTTACGATTGTCTTGATTATAAATTGGCATGGTATCATTTGTAATGCATACTGCTTCGCGGATGCATCTTCGCTGTGGTATTTCAGCAGCTTGTTCACTTCCAAGGGCTGTACCGCGCTCCGCTTGTACACCTCTCAAAAGGCGCAGATGTATTTAGTGATGCACGTTTGGGGCGTCTGGTGTACACAGGGCTGTCATCCGAAGTGGTCGTCGTAAGTGTATACGTTCTTGGTTATGTGCCAGCCAGTTACTTTGCTTTAAAGTATTCACTAGTTCAAACATATTTTCTGCAGTGATAATTGTGTAGATGTGGCGCTGAAGGCACGCGATGTAGCTGACTGTGCCAGTTTGTTGTTGCTGTTGATAAGCTGCGCGAAAAAGCACCGGGACGAAAAGTGGACAGCGTGACCAATCGGGGCTTACCCATTGTGCGCGCATTTCGTCTTAGTGATCCTTTCGCTCTCCACTTCACTTGGGAGCTTTCCTTTGTACGCGAAGGAGTAGGGCACATTGCGTACACTCCTTTTTAAGACACTACCTTCGAGGAACCTTTCCTAAAATTGCGTGCATCCTCATGCGCCTATCCACAGGTGACGCTGCCAGCACGCCTTGTTTCGGAAAACTTCAACGAAGTTTTTTGTTAATAATTTACTCTCATTGGTCCGCCTGTGTGGCTGCAATGCCGCCATACCCTTCCTCGTGGGTGGTGTGCACCCGTTTGCTTCTGTCGATATATCTCCTCGCTTGGGTACACACCGTTTTTCGGTTTTTAGGTTGGGCAACGGGTTTCTTTCATTGGCGCACAAGTTGACTGCCCTGCGCATTGTTTCTTGCTTGTCGTCCGCATGTCGGCCGGCGTCGTTCAATTCTTTATTTCACCTCTCGATTTGTTTTGGTATGCCGCTTTGTAAGGTAGAGCTTTAGTTCAGCCTATTTCGTGCTCATTTGGCATCTTAAAGCATCGCTGTCGAATCATTCTTCTTTGCCTACGCGTCTGGTGTTTTTTTTTTATTATTCTAGCTGTTCACCGTACAATCATACAATTTTATTACAAGGAACAGCACAACAAAGGCTCACAGGACTTGGCGCTGGGCTAACATGACCGTTTAATTCGTTGGTGCTCGCTTCTTGTAAAACGGAGACAAAAAAAAAAGAAAGAGGGGAGGGGGGTGGAAGCATGCGTCCCAAGTAGTCCATATGACGCAATGATCACGTGCGGAGATATTAAAATCCTTGTCGGTCACATTGTCAGTAAATTTAGTGCAACTTGGAAATCCCTTCAAATACTCGCACACTCTTCCGCACAAGAAATGCACATGGTGCGCGTACTCATGATCGCCCTATGGAATGAATTGCCAGTGATGCGTGGATTTTCCAGAGCGCGGCTAACACGATGCCTGCGCATCGATGCCCGTCTGGTCAAAATTAGAACTGCAGCCACAGCCGGTGCGTTGAATAGCTGCAGTGATTTTCCATTTCCGAGTCTTAAAATTGAGGCTGTTCCGACGTGGTCTCGCAGCCGGTCGCTGATGCAGCGGCCCAATGTCGGGAATTCGGGTCGGAAGGGTTCCTTTCGTACGCCACGTCAGCCGAGTCTAGAGGCCGCTGCGCTGGCGCGTTCGCGTGCAACAAGTGCGGGTCCGAGGAGCTGCGCGACAAGAGCAGAGACGGGAGTGCGCCCGTCGTCGCCCACCTTCATATCGGCCAATGGTATTGAGTTATTCGCTTTCAAGAGATTCTCTTGTTTTGATCTCATAATTTCGCACTCCGTTTGTTGTAATCAACCTAGATTAATTTTACCCTTACTGGATAGTATATGGGGTTTTACGTCTCAAGACCACCGTGTGATTATGAGAAAGGGCCCCGGATTTTTTGACCATCTGGTGTCGTGCACTGACATTGCACAAGACACGGGCTTCTACCGCTCCGCCTCCATCGAAGTGCGACCGCCTCCACCGGGATCGAGCCCGCGACCTTTGGTTCGGCAGCCGAGATCCGTGTCCACTGCTCCACCGAGGCGGACTTACCATTACTATACAGAAAAATCGGCATGATGCATGGAGGACGGCGGTGAAACAACTGTGGCGCCAAGCAGTTCGTGTCTTCATTTCGTCGCCGTCCTGTTTGCCTCATACCGATTTCTCTCTAACCAACTAGCTCAGCAACAAGTCCTGTTCCATTTATTTTACTGTATTTAACGTATTTCTGGTCGTGTAATCTGTGTGTCATTATAACGGTGCCTCTTCTTTCTGTTTTCATGCATTCATTACGCTGTCAAGTGGTTCTTGCATTTGATAAGCCTTTGAAGCCGTGATCGATTTTATCTTTCTTGTCGCGTCAGTATTTTGACGCTTAGCGCATACAGCGTTTGCAGAGTAATTCTACTATACCACAGTAAGGGCTTACGACTGCCGGCTTGCGTGTATGGCTTTGAGCAAGCCCCATTTATCGTGCGTTCTAGTTGCTCAGTGCTTTTGGTGCTCTGCGGAAAACCAGGAGAAAAAAAAAAGTGTGTTCTCCTCGCTGCCGCTCTGTTTTGCGCTTCGAGCGGATGCGTCTGGGCGGAAGCGTGGCCGAAGCTGCGGTGCCTAGAGGAAGCGCCGGCTTCTCTTAACGTCGTCGTTCCGTCGTTTTTTTTTTTTTTCTGCCCTTCGTCACGATTGTAGGTGGCCGGCCACAGTGGCCGCTCTTTGGCTTCTTCTCTACTGTCGCTGGGAGTGGCGGTGTGCTCGTGGCACTCCCGTGCGGCGCGCATAGCGAGCGCCGCGACCCTCTGCCCCCGCTGTGTCTCTTCTCACCAGTGGCTCCGTTTCATTACAGCGCTGTCCAAGGAGGTGATCCTGCCCGACTACGACACGGAGAACGAGGTGAGCGGCCTGCACGAGTTGTCACCGCGATCTCTGATAGCCCCGCCACGTTATGCTGTCTCGGCCGTGTCGTCTACGCATTTACCGTATATATGGTAATGCTGCACGCCTTTAGTGATGGACGGTGGCAGAAGCTTCAACATTCGTGAGAACGAAGGGAACTTCTTTCAACGCACGTGCTACACTCGCCGATCATCTCGTATTAATCGTTTTTTTTTTCCTTAAATCGATAGTAGGTTTCTTCCGCGTGGTATATCGTGAAGAATTTATGACCACTAAAAATACGGACAAGTACGATGGCAGTGACTGGACCGTTTCTTTTTTTGTAGTGCAGTTGCAAAAGCTTTACGGTGAATGAACTGGCCCCTTTGCCTTCCTTTGGACAGTAAGTACCTGCAGTGACCGCTTTTCCTTCTCAAACGAGCCGCGACTTTGGCTTTGGCGTCACCGATTGAAATGACCTTGCTGCACTGGTCAGCTTCAGCGAGAAAAGACTAATCCTGTGCACTGGCGCTACAGCTGCAGGGTTTCTTATTAGACCGTATCGAATTCTGCCAAACTTTCAATTATAAGGGGCCTTTGCATCTATTCAAGGTGTCTTCTCTTAGCCCTTTTCTAGTTCACTGCCTGCTTCCGTGTCGCCGCCTACTCGGCAGGAAAAATGGCAGGGGAGCAAAAGAAAAAAATCTACGAATTATGGCTCTAATAGGCTATAATCGAAGTATCTTAGAAGTGATCACAGCTATTGCTATTTCGTTTAGACTTCTCGCTTTCTGGTGCGGAGTTGATTTTCGTAGAAGTGTGACAAATTTCTCACCTCTTATGCTTTCGGCTATGAATGATGGTCGTGTGTTTTTCTACAGCTTTCTTGCTCTCTTAGTGGTTGTCTCTTAGTAATGAGAGGCGTTCGATCCGGCCATCTGTAACGCCGACGTGTGTAGTTGAGTGCAAGTGACAGCTGGTACATGAGCATCTTGCGAGATGTGGTTGGGGGTGGAAATCAGAGGAGGCGTGTCTCTTTTGTGTTGTGTCAATAATTGCGCTTTTAATCAAACTATATGACATACCAACTCATCCAGCCTTCGCTTAAAGGACCTTGACTTATGGTTTGTGGCCTGTTGACGCTGATGCTTCATAGGAATAAACTGGACTTGCGCATGAATGAATGAATAAACTTCACTTGAAGTCCGACAGTTTCCTCCGGACAAGGTGGGGTAAGAGGAGATTACCCCTGTCCCTTCCCACCCTCCGTCGATTATGACGGCGGTGCCTCAGGGGACCGCTCGAAGTACTTATACCCGGGTGCCATCCTCTGCTTGACGGACTGCCCGGACGCACGTAATTTAAATTATTATTGCGATAGCAATTGTATAGACACTCTCGGCTGGATTTCGCCGCCGGCGTCATGCACCGTATATGTATACGTATTTATATATGTGAAAACGCAAGAAAGAAAAAAATCTAGAAAAAAGACTCCGTCGAGCGGAATTGAACGTGTGACCTCTCCGCGTCGTGAATGCGAGGCGTTAACCACTGAGCTACTATATCCACTCACCGCTGTTGGCAGACATTTCGGGGGAGTGCTGGGGGGGGGGGGGCTATCGTCTTTTCAGCATATCAGCAAGATGGCGCAGTGAGCGCGCGGCGGCTCTTATCTCTCACGCGTACTTTGTGGCCCGTGGAGAGAATAAGCGGGTGTACGCTCGATCGCGCGACCTTATCTTGGCTAGCCTTTGGGTTTCGCCGGAACGATTCTGTTGTAGTTACCGGGCGCACAAAGGTCACTGCAATCGTGCGCAGTCTCCGTTTGCAAAAAGAGCGCGCTTTTCAGACACAGGGAAGTAACAACTGAGACGCTTATTCGCGTGCATCTGTACCTCTGAGTACGTTTCGTGCGTCATTTGTGCGTGAGAAACGGGGCACGTTTCGATCTGCTTGCCATTCTGCGCGTGACCTTCCAATTTGTTGCTATCGCGTTCATTGAATCGCCTTTGCGGCAAAGCTGTGACTTTATAAATGGAAGAATGACTTCTTCTATGATTTCCATGGTTTTATCATATGTTATGGCCCCTTAGTTGTGACTCCTCAGTTTCTTTTCTTGTTTCGTACTAAGCACCGTTTTCATAAAGTAATAAAAGATGTTTGAATATTCATTTATTGGAAAATAGGTTCTTATAGAAGTGAAAGGGAAAGAGAGGTATCGAGTTTGTTCTTTTGGGGGAGTAATGAACTTGACAGAGCCATTTCTCCCTTCTAGATGGAACTGCGAAGGGACAAACAGTTGCCCTCTCCTCATGGTTACAGTTGCTCCTTCGCTCCTTCTCGATACTCCTCAAGGGTGCAACAGTCGCACGTTTGCGTAGAAAAAAAAAAAGTCATGGAGATTTGAAGAGGCCGGTGATCAGGTGTACACAAGCAGCCCATTCAGAAATAAATGTCTCAATATTTTACGGCAAAATCGCGGGGTTGCAAATATTCTTGTATCATAATTGCTTGGTTCATTCAAACGTACCTTATTGTTTGACTTATGCTCGACTCGTGTTTGTAAACTTGTTTTGATTGTTTAGCGTAACGCCCCGCCGCGATGGTCTAGTGCTAAGGTAATCGGCTGCTGACCCGCAGGTCGCGGGTTCAAATCCCGGCTGCGGCGGCTGCATTTTCGAATCCATCGAAAATTCAGCCGCCGCAGCCGGGATGTAGGCCCGTGGGCTCAAATTTGAGTGCACGTTAAAGAACCCCAGATGGTCCAAATTTCCGAATCCCTCCACTACGGTGTCTCTCATAATCGTATTGAGGTTTCGGCACGTTAAACCCCACATCCGAATAAATCAAATCAATCATGTTTAACGTAACGCTTATTCCAACTGTTGGGCGAATAGTATAAATGAACAAAATAAATGATCTATTACACGTGATGTGGAGGGGGAAGTAAAAAGGCGACCGCATGAACGCTTGATGGATGGGTGCGGTTAATGCCGTATATAGGCGTGCAGGCGTTGGGCTGTCGGGGCGTTTTTCTGCGTGGGGCCACTTCGCGCCGGCTCAGCAGGCGGCAAGTGCGTGTGCCACTCGCTCGCGGTCAAACCGCGACGCCTGCTGTTCGACCGAAGCCTGTAATGGGTTGGAGGTTAGATGTCGCGACGCGCTGGACCCTGGGCCCGGCCACTCCGTTATGGCTAATAATTTGTCGTCCTCGGACTTCGGCGCTTTGTCCGCATATGACACTTTCTGGTGTCGCGGGCGAAAGGTGAGCACTCGCGTGTTTTTTTTTTTTTCCTTTTAGAGCGCCCCCAACTAACGCAAAAATTATCGAACGTCTCCTCGTCGTCGACTTGAGTGACGGGCGCGATTTACAGTGAACCTTCACTTGAACGAACTTCAAGGGACCTCAGCTACAAGTTCGTTAATTTGAAAGTTCGCTGAACTGAAATAGCTGGGTTCGAACTTGTTATCAGGAGCTGAAGAAAACATAGGTTGTTGTAATGAAACTTGAACCCCTTTATTTGCGATGCTACTTCTTTTGAATAAGAATTTAGCATGTTTAGTAAATTTTGCTGTACTTGTGCACTCCAGGACTGAAGTTGCCAATAGTCACTGTGTTCATGCTGTCGTTAGCCTTCTCCGGCACAACGCTCTGCTAGCCAAAGTGCTTCGCCTTTGTCAAGATACATTTTCTAGCTGCAATTATTGCTGCTTCCTCTAAAGTGGCCATTTCTTCCACCTGCTCTCTTCATCTATTTCTGAGGTAGGACGCTCGCGACAATCGCTTCTGTATATAGCAGAACGGCACAACTCTGTACGCGATAGTCACTGGTGACATACTCCTCAAATTGCACTCTTTGTTATTAATATGGCGGAAGATGCATTGGATGGTACTACAAAAAATGTTAGTGAACTGAAATACGCTCTGCATTAATTTCGCTGAATTGAAACGTGGTAGTATCGGCTACAATGGTGCTTCGTTCGGGGATTTTTTTTTTTAAATGGGAAAATTGTTCAACTGACGTTAATTCAACGGTAAAATATAATTTACTGTATACGGGAATCGGTCGCTGTTCAGAATCCGATTGATCCGCGCACTGGTGCGCGCGCGTGAAAAAGTTTGAGCTCGTGGCGAAACTGCGATCGATTATTCTCGCCTTTCGGACAACCGCGGTGCAAGTCCGCAGTTTGTCGTCTCGGTGGCGTGTTTTACGAGCGCTTGAGCCGGGTCCACCGGCTCCGCTGTACAGCGATCTGTGTCGGGGCGACCGTGACGGGCGCCGATTTCCCTCGCGCGCCACCCTTGACGAAACGGGGCGAATTCTTTTCCCGGTGCGCGCGTCCTGAAATAAGCCGCGTGGCAAAGAATTCTTTTCGTCGCATCGCGTTCGTCTTCCCGCCGCACTCTTTGGTATTTTTGTCGACAAGGCCGAGACCTGCACGGCCGTGCTCCCCTTCTTTGGCGGCAGTTCCCGAAAGAAAACGGAAAGACGCCCGCGCGGCCTCCTGCGAAGCGCTGCGTGTCGACCCGCGCGCGAAACACGACCTGTCCCAGCGCCGCGTGGCGCGCAGAGATGTCTCGCCGATTGGTTGCGTGCCCGGAGAATACACTGTGTACGCTAATATGCCGCTGCACAATTCTGGACAGGGATATCCCTGTATATTGCCGTTCTACATTTTTTTTTTACAGTCTTGTGCCGCCATTCGTTATGTTTACATTGCAGGCGTGTAAGCACCTCTGGTGGCGTGGTCGTCGCATATTGCTTTTGCATATTATTTCTACCGTCCTTACATTCGTAGCTGTTATGGTTTGTTCCTTAGGCCATTTCAAGTTTGGCCTTTAATGTAAAGTTTGACACGAGCTTAACCTTGAGAGAAGTTGTGCTGCTACTACACACTGTAGGGATCGATGTTGCGGGAACCATTTTATGTTGTGTGTCTATCGAGCGTGTATAGGTTCTGCGAAGTTCAGAAGTACATGACTTCCGGTTTAGCTAAAAAGAATCTGCGAAAAACAG